ACATATTTATTGTAAAAAAGAGTAATTGATATAAATGATCAGACACATTTCAATTTTAAATCAAAACAAGTAAGACTACATCCCTTGCAAAAGCATGTATTTAAACCAAAAATATTTTTAACCCTTTCCCAATTGAATTTTTGTTTTTGGTCAAAAATAAATTCTCAGATAAGAGTTTTAGTTCTATTTTTACATAAAAGTATTGAAAAAATCGAGCTACGAGGAACACTTTATTGAAAAAAATAAATTTTTGGTGTCAAATAAAGTCATACTATTTTGAAGCTACAGTATACACTATACAGTATGAAACTGCAAATAGCAGTTTCTCTCTTTATTAATACATAACATATTGTGCATTTTGTACACAGTATATGTGTTTTCCCTGTACAGCCTCGAAATTTGCATCTTGACCTAGTGCTCTCATCTAAATAGGGAAAATAATCAAGCCCATCTATATATATATACATATATATATATATATATATATATATATATATATATATATATATATATATATATATATATATATAAGCAATTAGTGTTTAAAATAAAATATATGAATATAGGGTTTTTATCGCGGTTCTCAAAGAATGTTTGTAAGTACTTTTTAAATTATCTTTATTATAACTATTATGAAACAGACATCTATATCTAATATAAACAATATAAATTTAAAACAACCTATCTAAAATTTAAAATTCTTGCAATTATTAAATTATATTAACAAAATTTGGTACCTTTCTTTCACTGAATGCCTAAAGTTTTCCAAAATCAAAGTTATAATCACCACTAAATGTCTTCTTAATCAGCCTCGGTTATCCTTGTATTTGTGAAATTGCATATAGATATTATAATTTAAAATTCTTGTCATATCCATATAATATATTATGCTCCTGTATTGAACTGTCTATATTGAATTAATTTACTTTCGTACTCTCCAACTGTATCTGACTTAATGAATTCTTCTAAGTTAATTCTTTCTTCTAATTTAATTTAATATTAACTGTCTTGATCTAACTTTCTTGATGAATCTTAATTTAATAACTTAATTGTAACTGACTTCATCTCACTTAATCCTTTTTCCTAACTTAATTTAACTTAATCACTTCATGAATTCTTCTCACTTAATCAATTGTAACTGACTGATTGACTTCTTCTTACTTATTAATGTCTTCTACTATCTTAATAATTGACTGTAACTGACTTAGTAACTGTAACTTAATTTCTGACTGACTTAATGTAACTTAATTCTTGAATTCTTCTAACTAACTCACTTAATAATTGACTGTAACTGAATAATTGACTGTAACTTAATGACTTCCTGTCACTTAATGCCCCCTGCTCCAAATTACCTGGTATTTATATCATTACATCATTCCAGATTGTTCCAGCAATAAATCATGTTCGAAACTCTTCATCTCATCATCAATATATGAAAGTTCTGGAATAATCTACCATGCAAATAAGATTAACTGTTTTGTATCGAAGTTTTCCAGAAGATTCTAGTGAGAATCTTATAGACATTTAGGCTTTTCAGATTAGAATTTCTATTATATATATATATATATATATATATATATATATATATATATATATATATAAACTAAATGTCTTACACTAATATACTACTATTTTACATCCGTAATTATATTTAAATTAAAATCCCAAACTAATATTGAACCCCATTTTACATCTGCAACCAAACAAATGTCAAATAACACCGTGTATATTTGGTTGCCTATGCATATGGCTCAATTAAATATGTTTATAATTAAAAAAAAAACATGATCATGAATGTGTTGCTTGTGTGAGTCCATTTCAAATAGGTAAAGAAATAATAAATAAGACTTACTCACAATCAATTTAATTTAACTATCAGACGACCGGTTTCTATTTCTACAATATGCAAAGCATTCTCAGGTCTCGATACAAAGTTAAACAAATGCTGAAATGATAAAAAAACCCATACTATGGTGTTGTCTAATAAAGATACACAAAGAAGATGTTATAAATTACAATAATTATGCCAATATTACATGTCTGTGGTTTTATTTAAAAGAGTAAGTTGAATAAAAAGTATAAAAGTTTTAAAAAGTTTAAACAGACAAGGTAAGGCCCACAAATTGTTATAAAATAGTCTATTAGATTGTAATAAATTAATAAATGAGCAAATAAATAAATAAAATAAACATTACTTACATGCCGGTACTCTATTAATTGATGGATGGTAGAACATGGTTGAAACTACTATGTATTGTTGAATGGAGAACTCAATTCTGTTATTGCAGTTGAGTAATTGCAGTTTACATTGAGTAATATTAAAAATCTTTTTTTTTTGGTTTTTACCATTTATGAAACATGATGGGGTAAAGGGTTAAAAAGTAATTTAAAAATAACCTTAAACTACGCTCACTAATGTTCCTATGACTTCTACATTAGTTTAATCGCAAGGAAGTATTGTAAACTCCTTAAAAGTGTTTTAAATTAATCAAACAGACATTTTAATACACTTAAAGCGATTTAACTTTGCAGTTTCTTAACAATCTATGCTAAAATTAAAGCCAATTATATTAATTGACAAAGTTAAAGGCTAATCTTTACACAAAAATAAAAAAGATGGACTTCGTTGCAAAATAAAATTATTCTAGTATAAAACAAATAATATACAGGAATGTTTTTATAAAGCGAAAGCATCAATATTAAATCTCACCAAGAAAAAATTAAAGAAAAAGACATTAGAATACAACGAAAATGAATTAAAAAATGCCAAATAATCAAGCAAATTCATCAAACGTGACCAAAAGTAGAAATAGAAGTCGATATTTGAACTCTTCGTGTAACTCTGCGTAAATTGGTATATGATTTCAGTAATTTAGAGTAATTTTTCCAAACTGTCTGTCCTAACTATAATGTGGCCCTTCAAGTTTTAACTTATAAACCGAAAATGATATAAAAACTGGAAATATATATTATTTTCTTTTATCTTTCTAAGGCGCGTCAAATAATATATCGCTTGTACTATTTCGGCGACCTTAAAATAGTACTTCTGGTTGCAACTCTGGAACCAGAAGGTTTAGGTCTAATTTGAAACCTTTAATAGCAGCGCTGGGCTTTTCTTTGACATCTCATTTGTCATTCCATCTTTTTTCATAACGGTGGAGTAGTGCTTACAGACAGACAGACATACATAATTGAATGTTTTTACATTTTATTGTTGTAAATATGTAAAAACAATCGCAATAAATATTGCAATTGCAATTGCAATAAAAACGTGTAGTGTACGAAAAAATAAGCATAGAAAATCAAACTGTCAGTACTGTACAAAAGTGAAATTATAATTTGTGAAATTATAAGTATAATTTCAGTGTATGAGGACTGTATTTCATAAGGCTGGTACAAATAAATTAGGATATGTAGTAAAGGGTTACACAGACAATAGCAAATCAAGTTTATACAAAGTCTCACCAATATTTCTGTTGCACACAGCCGTGATTAAGCCGACACAGGGCAAGTTAAAATGGAATAGGAAGAGTTGTAGTAGGGTAATGATTGTAAAATTATGAATGATACAGCGAAAAAATGACATGATTTTTTGCATGGAAAAAAATTTAACAACTACTATGAAAGCGATTTAAAAAATAATTTAATAAAATGTTGTAGAAAGCAAACTAAATCACAATTAACGTTTATTATTAAGGAAATTAAAATATGCACACAAAATGACAAAACAAAAGGAAGGACATGACACATTTGCACGCAGTAAAACAGATTATCCTGTAAGCTTAAATAGATATTAAGAACGAGAAATATGCAAAACAGATAACAAGACATAAGCAGATTAACAGAGTACTTTAGTACAAAATATTACTCCCCCTGTGGCATGCGTACTACTGGCAGTACGCCAACAATGGATTTTTATTGTATTATTTAACAAATTTCTAAAGAGGTTAGTCTTTTGGTAGTCTTTTACAAAACTACCATGATTTCTGACCATACCTATTATTATTGCTATGGCATTGCTAACTAATATTATTAAAAGCTTTACTTTTATTTTACATACTTTTTTAATCCAAGGCATATTTTTTTAGTTATGCATGAGAAACCTTTAAAAAACGTGATTTTTTTAAAGAAAATTCGCTGGTTTCAACCATAAATAGCTTAAACAGTATACACTTTTCAAAAAAACTCTATTTAACAAAAGTTTAATTAAGTTTAAAAGTTTAATAAGAAATATATGTTCTATAATAATAATATCTATTCATTCATATTATTATATCTATTGATTCACGGGATTATTTTGTGCAAAAGTAATTTCACTTTCGAGAAGGGGTGGCAACCACCCACGTGACGGAAGCACACATCGGCATTTTTTAACGCCGTTTTATAACATATTCTTCTTCTTACGCTGCCTATCCGTTGCGTATGTTGGCGATCAACATGGCTATTCTAACTTTGCTTGCTGCTATTCTAAATAGTCCATTTGTTGATGTGTTAAACCACTTTCTCAGGTTTTGAAGGCAAGATATTCTTCTTCTCCCTCGTCCTCTCTTTTCAAATACCTTGTCCTAAAGAATGATTTGCAACAAGCCGTATCTCTGTTCATTCCTCATAACATGGCTAAGATATTTTAGTTTGCGCTCTTTGATGGTGTTAATAATCTCGCATTCCTTGCCTATTCTACGTAGGGCCTCAACATTAGTCACACGATCCACCCATGAAATATTTACCCATTTATAATATAAATTTACCAAATTTTAAGTGAATCTGTTGAGTACGACAAAATTGGGAGCTGAATAACCAAGTGACTGGAGTATCAACGTTCTGCCAGCAACTATATTTGTTTTTATCACATCACGGCTTAGTTTGTATTACTTAAAATAATCATTAAGTAATAATTTAATTTTAATATAATAACAATAATTAATTTTTCGTGAAAAAGTTTTGCTTACGTCGTCTTACGCAATTCGAATAAGACTATATTTTCAAAAAAAACTATATTTCCAAATTAGTTTATTTTTATATAAGAAGCTTTACAACCTTTTATTCCCCTATTTCCATTTGCCAAAATTTTTGAAAAGTGGCTCCGATACCTATATCATTGTGATTATAGTTAAGTAGACTTGCTAGTGTAGATAAAGTCACGATGTAGAGTAGCAGCAGGGCCAGTTTTGGTATTAGTGGACCTAATATAATGGGTCGTACATAATCAGTTAAGCATCCTTCTAAACCCCTAAAACAAGTACAAATTAAATACTGAATAAAGTATAATTAGACAGTGGTTAGATTACTAAAAAAATTGTAACATATGGAAATATAGAAATTTTTGCATCAATTAATTGTAAGTAAATAATTAAAAATTATTAGTTTTTGAAAATATGAATATTTGAAACCTTACATATTAAGAAAATCAGACCAAAAAATGTTCTTATATTTTCTTAAAAATACTTATTTATCTTAAATGGGATAAACAAATACCGAAAGAGAAGTTAAAGCTTATAAATGAGGAAAATATTGGAATACTGGTCAAGCTTTTCAATGACGTTTATTCGACTGGTGATATCCCTGAAGATTGGTTAAAGTCCGAAATTATAAAACTACCAAAAAAACAACGTCCGAAAAACTGTAGCAATTATAGAATAATAAGGCTTATGAGCCACACTTTGAAAACATTTCTACGCATCATCCACAGTAGAATCAGAGATAAATGTGAAGAAGACCAGGATGAAACACAATTTGGCTTTAGAAATGGACTGGGAACTCGGGACGCCCTCTTTGCACTAAATGTATTACTGCAGAAATGTCGAGATCAAAGGAAAGACGTCTTTGCTGTATTTATTGACTATGAAAAGGCCTTTGATCGAGTACAACATTACAAATTAATTACAATATTAAAAGATAAAGGAGTTGATAGTCAAGACATACGATTCATAGAAAAGTTATACTGGCGTCAAACAGTGACAGCTTGCATAAACGAAAAATCAACAGAAATATGTAAAATACAAAGAGGTGGCAGACAGGGTTGTATATTATCTCCACTGTTATTTAATTTATATTCAGATAGAATATTTAGAGAAGCGCTGCATAGTTTGGAATGGGGCGTGAAAGTTAATGGAATTGTGATAAATACAATCAGATATGTAGACGATACAGCTATTTTAAGTAATAACATGAATGGACTACAATGCCTTTTAAATGCCATTGATACAGTGGGAAGAGAGTTTGGACTAAACATAAACTGTTCAAAAACAAAACACATGGTGTTTAGGCGTTTAGCACATCAAGATGCACGATTATATGTTGATGGTCATATAATCAAAAATTGTCCAGTTTTAATTATCTTAGTTGCCATATTACTAAACAATTAGATCCAGGTCAAAAGAAAAAATGTAGAATCGAGATAGCCCGCACGACATTTTTAAAAATGAGGTCATTCTTCTGTAATGATAACTTGCAACTTCAACTTCAAAAGCGCATGGTTAAATTCTACATTTGGTCAGTCCACTTGTACGGTGTCGAAGCATGCACATTAAAAATATCCACTATTAATCGTCTGGAGGCTTTTGAAATGTGGCTGCACAGATGTATATTAAAAATTGCATGGATGGCTATGCTGACAAATGTGGCAGTCCTTGAGAGAGCAAATGCTACTCGCGAGCTGCTTGATAACATCAAATGTAGAAAGATGGCCTATTTTGGACACGTATTAAGGGGAGACCGATATAATATTCTTTAACTTATTATGATGGGTAAAATCGAAGGACGCAGAGGAATTGGTAGAAAGCAGGTCTCTTGGTTAAAGAATATCAGGGATTGGACAGGAATAAGGAAAGCTGAGCAACTCTTTAGAATAGCTCGAGACAGAGACAGTTTCGCCATGTTAACCGCGAACGTCAAGGGGACTTGATAGGACACGTTAAGAAGAAGAAGTTGTGGATAAATAATATTTTAAGATCATCAGCTTAAAAAAGCACTCATTATGCCCTCATATTATGTGGCAACGACTGTACGACCGTAAGTAGATCGTAATGATTTTTAATTTATTTAAGTATACTATTTAAAATAAATTCTTTTAAACCAAAATAAAAAATATTTTACATTATTAGTGTTCTATTTCTTATCACATCTCTAAAATTAAACAGTTTCTAACTTTGAAAAGTTAAAAACTCACCAGTGCATGTGCAGACACATAACTCCAGCAAAGATGTCATCTAAAATAGGATTCGGCATTATAAACGTAGCTGGAACTAATCCTACTAAAGATAAAGTTACTAGTTTTTCAAAAGGCCAAATTTTAGCATGATGGCCACTCATGTGTCTTTTGGAAAAATCGTAAAAAGATGGCTTCATACAAGATGCTTGAAATAACTGTGTAGGTTGGGTACTTTTGGTAAATTGTACGAAATATTTTTGTGGTTCCGTTTTGACTGACGCTGTTTTAAGTAGATTGCTAAAAACTTTATAAATGAGTGGTTAAAATATTATTTTGTTATTATGATTAATAAGTTTTAGATTGATATATATTTTAGTTTTTTTTTAGAGAAACATTTTGTCAAAAAAATTTAAAGAATATTATTTTACAGATTTATTTACCTGCATTTCTCGAAGATCTCCGTAGAATTGCAGCAAGAGCCATATTTATTGTATTTAAATAAAACTTTTATACATAAACGTCAAAATATTATTTCAAAGAAAACGTCAGATAACATGAAACAAGGTCGATTTATATAAAACAATAATATCACAGGTAAGCCATCAAAAACGTTTTGACATCAAAGCAAATTCACAAATACTTTCTGACGTATGCATATTGCTCTTTACTTTACGTAAAATAGGAATATCATCGGAAATATTCAAGAATTTTCCATTTATATTATAATAATATTAAGTCCTAAGCTCTTAACTATTGGTTATATAAATAAAACAAAAATATTAATATGAAAATAATATCAAATAAATTAAATAATAGAGAATAAAAAAAGTTAAGGACTCGGAAAATCTATAGCAAAGTAGCTATCGAATTAAGTAGAGAGCTTTTTTTTCTGTGAAGGTGAAAATTTCTAAATAGTACCAGGTTAACCCATCCCTAGGGATGGCTGGTGTTTGTTGTATTCAGAGTAGAAGAATACATCCGATCCCATTTCCTCTTAGAAGAAGGAGGTCCTGCAAACATATGCCTTCCAATTATCCTGCCTACCAACTAAAACCACCCTCTCCTACTTGTGCGGAGTTAACTATCGTACGTACCTTACTCTGAAAGTGGGATGGTCGTTGTAAGGCTAAAGGCACTTTCGGAGCACTTCTCTTATCTATATCTTATATCTTTTGTTGGTTTATCTGGTGTTTCTCTTTTTCTCTTTGCTTAATAATTAGTGTTCAAATGTAATTATGTACAATGTTTAATCCCTCTTTACTTCCCGTCATCTTCACAATTAACTTTCTCCCAGTAACAGGGTTCATACCTATTTCTCTGTACTTTCTATTTCTATCAACTGTGCATCTATTACATTTCAGCGTTGGTTGAGTAACAGTGTCAGAGTATTCACAGTATATATAGGCATTTATCTTTATCTATCTTTTTGAATCTATGAAGATAAAATATGTTCTAAAACACCCATGACCTGTGAGTACTTGCATCAGGAAAGAATCCAGTCGCCTGTAGCCACAGTCCACCCAGTCTCTTAGCCTTGGGATTAGCGGCTTGGTCCACTGAGTAACATTTTTGGTCTTGTTCTACTATTCTTGCCATCTTTCTATTGATCCTTTTCTTTCTTCTCTTTTTTATAGCTGCTGTTAAATATTTTTTTCTCTTCTATTCTAGAGATGTGTTCTTTTTACTGCTAACCCATGCCGAGGAACACAACCCGAGGTAGTCCACAAGTCGGCGCAGAAACAGTCCTGTAGGCGCATGCTAGTCACAACAGACTTGTTCTGTCTACTCGTCTCATGAGAACTTTGTTGGCAGGTATCGATATCGCCGCACTCTAGACTGGTGTCGCGTAAAGAATGATTGACTTAACAACACCGTGTAAGCAGCCTTCCCATTGCAGCTCCACATAGGAGTTTCATCCCTTTTTTTACCCTTTAGAATGATGTCCTTCACGACGTTGCCCATATGTCTTACCCGAAATCACAGATCCGGCTTGTCCCGCGCTACTATCAGCACAGCGAGATCATCCGCGAACGCGAAGGAGGTTATACCTTCTCCATATTCACAGGTCATGACCCTGTCATATTTCAGGTTCCATAGCGTCGAAGCCAAGACCGATCCCTGTGTGACTCTAGTGGTTATATCATCGAGCGTTCCCTTCTCAACCATGATCTTTCTCTCGGAGATATGTTCCGCCATTTCATTCATCAGACAGTTAGAACACTTCCTCCCTTCTAATTCTCGCATCACCCCTTTCCACTGCAGAATGTTAAATGCATTTCTAACATCGAAGATCAGTAGAACCACCCAGCCCTGTTCATCCCCAATGTTGTGCAATACCTCGATTATACTTAAAATTGCGTCAATTGTGCTCTTCCCTTTATAAAATTCGAATTGTCTCAGGGATAGGCCTTCTGATCTCTTAATTGTGTCGTCCATTCATCCTCGCAGCTCTCGTACAACTTTATGATGCATAGGAAGAGGTATATGCGGGCGATATTTCTTTCCAATTTTGGGAAGCAGTACCAACCTTGATCTCCTCCAAGTTTCAAAATATATCTGTGCTTCAAGAAATGCATTCGTATGCTCCAAAAGCCACTTAGGTTCCGCGCGATCTAAACCCTTTAGCGCTTCGAACGGTATCTGGTTTAGTGCGGAGAACCTACGTGTCTTAAGGCTGTTTTAGCAGTTCAAGCACACTAATATTTAAAATGAGCGTATCACTTACGTTTCTACACTGCTTACGCCAGACCATCTTTACTCAGTGGCGCCGGTCAACGTGTAGTTTAGTGACAACAAATGCATTATTCTCTATTCAAATTAGTTTTATCACGAACTAACTGACCGTACGTTCATGAGATTTGACGTCACGAAGTCGATAACGATGAAACTGTGCCAATGATGAGTAATACGTTTCAGTATTAGATTTTTGTATTTTTTAGCAATTTTCTTTAAAGTTGGAACACACTTTTCTTGATTATTACTGGACACAGAAACGTGAAAATAAAACAAAGACTACAGAAAGTTAAAAAAAAATTCCAATTCATCTATGATAAAGGGTACGGATCGCTAAGCTATCTCGTCCCTTCATGCTCCATGCCATCTGCCGGACGCAAAAAGCTCTCGTGTTACCTTTAGATTTTTGACTAGTGGCAATTCTTATAAGGGGTACGCATGGAACATTTTTATTGCGATTTTTTATCCTTGACCAAAGATGTCCTTATTCAGCTTGTCACACAGTTCTCTTCAATGCCTTTTTTCTGTACGATTTTGTTCTGTAGAGTTATCTCTTTGGTGCAGTAGAGAGTGGAGAGTTTGCACACAAGAATTTGCTGAGAAACTCTAAAGAGCTGATCGCCTTTTTATATATAAATAAAAAAGCACCTAATACAAAGAAAAATTACTGTAAACAAATAACCCAAAAAACAAAAAAAGAACATTGAAGATCAATACTTGTTTATAAAGGAAGTATTAGAAAAGCTGGTTCTTCTTCTTCTGATTAAAAATGAAACTGGAACAAACCATGAAGTGGAGATATCCAGGAGTGACTAGTATACCTGTTAAATACAAAGCACGTGGTGGTCGTGTGTATTAAGGTATAAAAAATGCTTATTAAAAGCTTAAAATTTTTATTTTAAAGAAAATCTTTTCGGAATAAACTTATTACGTTATCAGTTTACTAAAAGAGAGAGTAAAAATACCAATATTAAAAAACAAGTAAGTTAAAATTTAAATATATAAAAAGAACACGTTGGTTTTTTACTACTTACATAAAAAGTTGTCAAAAAAACATTGTATGGCCACATGAAAACATAGTAGAGAACTCCGTATTAAAAAACTATCGTCAAGGTGTTTATGAAGGTAAATGCAATAGACTGTTGATTTGTAGATTACTAAAATTTGTAGATTACTTTTTCAGTTTATATATATATATATATATATATATATATATATATATATATATTACAATATCTGTACATGTACATTTTAGAATCTTGACAAAGGCAAGGGTTTCCTACCGAAACGTTGATTGCTATGGAAAATAAAATCTAGTTTCACATGTAATATATATTTTATTGAACCTAAATTCAAGAATACTAATTTTATCTCAAAACTGGTATATATATATATATATATATATATATATATATATATATATATATATATATATATATATAATTCATATCCATTGGGCTCCATTGGGGATTCTTACGCCTCCATATTTTTAAGCACTAGGACTTACACTCTATCCTTCCTTCTACTGTTAGTTCACAACAAAAAAAGCTTAAAGATCTATTCATCATCATCAATCAGCCAATCGCGTCCACTGCTGGACATAGGCCTCCCTTAGTTCTTTCCAGTGTTCTCTACATTGGGCCGCTTGTAGCCAGTTTCCCGCTACACGTTTAATGTCATCGGTCCATCTAGTCGGTGGTCGTCCTCGGCTTCTTTTATAAATTCTGGGCCTCCATTCCATAATACGTCTTGTCCACCGTCCATCTTGTGTTCTGGCTAAGTGCCCTGCCCAGTTCCACTTAAGCGTCGTGGTTCTTTCGATGACGTCTTGAACTCCTGATCTTCGCCTGATTTGTTGGTTTGTTATGTGGTCTCGAAGGCTCACGTTCAGCATTGCACGTTCCATGGCTCGTTGTGTAACTCTAAGTTTATTCGCAGATTTTTGCGTGAGTGTTAAAGTCTCTGCTTCATAAGTTTGTACAGGTAAAACACATTGGTTATAAACCTTTCGCTTGAGACACATGGGAATTGAACTTTTTAGAATATGGCTTAATTTGCCAAATGCTGCCCATGTTAGACCTATTCGCCTCTGTATTTCATGTGTTTGATTGTCTCTGCTTATTTTGATTTCGTGTGCCAGATATTTGTAAGTGTCTGTTTGTTGTATGGTATTATTGTCAATAGTTATATTTCCACTCATTACGAGATTTGTTATAATTTTAGTTTTCTCAAAGTTTATCTTTAATCCTGCTCTTTCAGACAGACTTTTAAGCGAATGCATCATAGAAACCGTATCATGTAGGTTATCTGCAATTAATACAACATCATCTGCAAACCTTAGGTAATTTAATCTTTCTCCATCTATATTGATGCCCATATCTTGCCATTGAGTACCCTTAAATATTGACTCTAGAGCTGCCGTGAACAATTTTGGTGAACTATTGTTTCCTTGTCTAACTCCTCGACCTAAGCTGAATTTTTCTGTCTTTGTGCAGTCATATACTTGATGTAGCGTTCTGATAGATGATTTTGATTAGTGTCGTGTACCTGTAATCTATTCGGCTTTGATTTAGGGCTTCCAGTATTGTTTCAAACTCTACAGGATCAAAAGCCTTCTCGTAATCGACAAATGCAAGAACCAGTGGTATATTGTACTCGATGCACTTTTCTATTAAGATCTTTATGGTATGCAAATGGTCATTTGTGCCATATCCTGCCCTAAAGCCTGCCTGTTCTTTGGGCTGATAGAAATCAAGTTTAGGTGTTTAAGAGTTTGTAGATATGTGTCAAGAGGCTGATGGGTCGATAATTTTCTAAT